CAGCCAATATTCAGCACCATTCACACCTCCTTAGATACTGAAGCAGTCCATATCCAAATGCAGCAAGACCTGGTCAATACCTAAGTTTGGCCTGATAAGTGACTAATAACGTTTCAGCCACAGAAATGTCAGACAGTGATGATCTCCAACAGAGAGAATCTAACCTTTGCCTCTTGACACTCAATGGCATTGCCATTGCTGAAACCCCCACTATCCACATCTATTGACTAGAAACTGATCTGGACTAACCATATAAATGCAGATGGCTACAAGAACAGCTCAGGGGCTAAGAATACAAAAGCAAGTGTCTCACATCCTGACTCCCTGAAGCCTGTCCACCATTTACAAGACGCAAGTCAGGCGTGTGATAGAATATTTTTCACTTATGTGGATAAGTGCAGCTTTGACAAAACTTAAACTTGGCACCATCCAGGACAAAGCAATCCACTTGATTGGCACCATATCCATAAACACTGACACACAGGAGCAGCAGTATGTAATGTATAGATTGCATTACAGAAATGCACCAAAGCTTTAAAGACAGCACCTTCCAAACTCATGACCACTTCTGTATTGAACGCTAAGGGTGACATGATAAAATGCATGAGAACACCACCAATTGCAAGTTCCCATCCAAGTCATTCACCATCATGACTTGGAAATATATTACCATTCTTTCACTGTCACTGGGTCAAAACTCAGTACTGCCTCCCTAACAGCACTCCCTAACTACACCAGTGATTCAAACTTGCAGCTCACTGCCACCTTTTCCAGGGTCAATTAGGGGTGGACAATAAATGAGATAGCAACAACTACAGATGCTGGAGTCAGAGATAACAAAGTGTGGAGCTGCAGGAGCTAGATGGCCTAAATGTGGATTTTACCAGTTTCAAAATCTCCCCACCCCAGGCCTCATGCCACGACAAACCCTCCCTCTCAAACCCCCTTCCTTGACCTGACACAACCTGTCCATCTTCTCTCCCACCCATCCGCTCCTCCCACCTCACTGACCAATCCCCACCACTCCTGACCTGCACTCACCTATCACCATCCAATCTACCCCAGCCCCACCCCTCCTCTCTCTCTTTATTTCTGAGCTCCCTTCCCCCTCCCCATTACTGAAGAAGGGTCCCGACCCGAAACGTCAACTTTCCTGCTCCTCCAATGGACAATAAATGCTGGCCCAGATGTAAAGCACACCCCTGAATGAATACTTTTTAAAAAAGCTCTACTCCTTCGGTCTAAGCTGCAGGTTTGAATGAACGTGGGTAATGACTAATTTCACCATCCACTGCCAGACCTAGCTGGATTACAGTAAGCAATATTAGCCCCTCCTGTCATCTATTTACAGTTCTGGGATGATCTTGAATTGGAAAAGTAGTCCAATGCTTTTTTTCTCTAATGTAATCTATCTGCTTAAACCCTTCTCTTCTATCCACAAATCCAGTGAGAAATGTGAGGAGTTAATGAATTTCTCTGTCACTCAGTTTTGAAACCAACTGATCAAATACCGGCTTATGTTCAACCCTTCACTTAGCCCAGTGGGTCTCCTCTAAACCTTGTCCTATTTCAAACCCTGGACTTGTTTCCTTCTCTTGTATCTCTCCTACCTCCCCTCATGTCATATCTGAGCTAAATTTGTCTGAGACCCACCTACCACACACTCAAGTCTATTACACTCCTAAACTAACCCCTAGTCCCCTTCAGTCTGTCTGTAGCCTTTGACACATTTGATATCACTAACCTCCTCCAGTTTCATCCATCTCAATGGGACTGCATTCAGTCAAATTTTTATTTTTATCTGTCTACTCATAGCCAGAGTAGCACCATTTTTGACTTCTCCTCCCATTCCCTCACATTTACCCTTGGTGACTGCCAAGGATCACTTACCTTGGGTCCTCCAATTTCTTATTGAAATGTTACTCCTCAGTAGTATCATCCAAATGCCCAGTCTCAGTTTTCACAAGAACACTGCCACCCAGCTCCATCACACCACTTTCATTCTTGACTCTTCTACTGTCTCTAAGTTGCAAGATTGCTTATCTGATCTCCAATAACTGCATGAGCAAAGCCTTCCTCCAATTAAAGATGAGAATTGGGTTTCTAAAATCCTAATTCTGTATGTTTCCCTCTTAAAAGTTTGCTTCCAAATACTGGACACCTGCAGATTCTTGGGAAGATTTTCAATTTGCCAGCCAACTGTGAGTCTGGAATTTTCACATCTGCTTGATTTTCAATTTGGCAGTTTAATAACTCTCTTTGTCAAGACCCAGAAATTTTCTTTTTGTTTTAAAAAGCATGAACACGTGTTAGCTCTTGATCCATGAGTAATTGTATTTCCAAACATTAGGTTGGGCTGAATATTAGCTCAGTAGTTAGCGCAGCTGCACAAGGGTCCTGGGTTCGATCCCACCCTCGGGCAACTGACTGTGTGGAGTTTGCACATTCTCCCTGTGTCTGTGTGGGTTTCCCCCCACAGTCCAAAGATGCACGGTTTAGGTGGATTGGCCATGCTAATTTGCCCACAGTGTCCAGGGATGTGTAGGCTAGGTGCATTAGCCATGGGAAATGCAGGGTTACAGGGATAGGGTAGGGGGAGTGGGTCTGGGTAGGATGCTGTTTGGAGGGTTGGTGTGGACTTGATGGACCGAATGACCTGCTTTCACACTGTAGGGATTCTATATTTTAAAAGATGCAAAGTTAACAGAGGTGAGGGACAGAAGTTCTGCCAGCATTACACTGGCTAAAGAAAAAGCAGCTTTTGCACGGCAGCCAAGGTGGTGTCTGGCTTGATGGTACATAGGGGAGAGAAATTCGGCAACAGGAAATTGTTAGAGTGTCAAATAGCTGATAGATAGTCGATCTGTACTAGCGCATGGAATTTGAAAAATGTGCCAAATGCCTGAAAGGCTGCACCATGAAACTGAACAGGTCAAGGGCATTGAAGTAACCAGGAGAACAAGTCCGTAGCTAGCAGTACATAAATCAACCGAGAGAAGAGACAAATAGGAGTGACATGTGATTTTCTGACTACAAGTTCCCCTGAAACAAAGAAGTGTTAATATCTGCAGTTTACCATCCCTGTTAGCAACAAGACTAAGTTGCTTCCACATTTTTTTCAGCCTTTCACTAGGTACCAGTATTTTCCAAATCTTACATGAAAATAGCTTTTCAACGTTCACAAATATAAATGAGATTTGGACTACTTCAATGCATGTAGAGAAACATATTGAAGCTGATAAATTGGTATCACCGATTTAATTAATTTGTTCACTAAAGTTGATGGTTACATAAAAGGAATGAAGAAATGGCAGCTAAATTTACAGAGAACAGCAAGATAGATAGGAAAGTATTTTATAAAGAAATAGAAACAAAAATCTGGCAGATGGAGTTTAATGTGGGATAATGTGAAGTTTGGCAGGAAGAATGAGAAAGAAATGAGAATGAGAAAATTACTTAAGCGGAGTATGACTGCAGAATTCTGAAGTACAGAGGGACTTGTGTATTCTAATTAATGAGTCACAAGTTAGTATGCAGTTGCAGCACATAATCGAAGAATGCTGATGGGATACCGTCCTTTAATATGAGAGAAATTGAACACAGTATACAGGGTGTTGGTGAGACTACATCTCAAATACTATGTGCAGTTTTGGCCTTACTTAACAGAGGATGTTAGCATTGGAGGAAGCTCAGAGCAAGTTTACTAGATCGATGCTTGAAATGACTGCGTTGTCTTATGAGGATAGTTTGGACAGGCTGGGTTTGTTTCCATTCAGTTTAGAAGAGTGAGGGGCAACTTGATTGAAGCGTATAAGATCCTGAATGGTCTTGACGAGGTGGACTTGGAAAGTATTTAACAATCTGATCTCCTTATGTTGAATTCGGCAGCAAAAGATCTTAACAGATTTACTATAAATCTATAGTTTAGCATAAATGCCAATTTCAAGCTTTCCATTCTGGACCCTGTCCTTGCCAGAAGCCAACTCCCCACTCGGAAGAGGCCAGATGTGTATTTTTAAACACCTAGCACAGCTACGATTTGAAACACACACTTTCCAGGCTAAAGGCAGGGGCACTACGACTGTGCACTGAGCTCCTCCAAGCAGCCAACTCTTTTTTTTTTTATTTAACCTATTTTTTTTAAATCAACCTGTTCAGAGATGTAATTACACCCCTCTGGAGCAGGTGGAACTTGACCCTGAGCCTCTTGGTCCGGAGGTATGGATACTAGCACAAGAGGGCCCAGGCATCCAACTCTTAAATGCAAAATCCAACGAACATCATTCACTCAAAATCAACTCTGGAACTGTTCTTTTAGACCCTTAAAGGGACCTGCATTTCTAACACTGACAGAAAGAATGTTTCCTCTTATAAATCAGTCCCAGACTAGGGTGTGCCCTTTTAAAATTAGGCGTCACCCTTTCAGGACAGATGAGAATTTTTTTTTTTATTCTCTCAAAGAGTTGTGCAGCATTGGAACTCTGTATCTCAAGAAGGCATTGGAGGTGGGGTTATTGAATATTTTTAAGACCGAGACGGATAGATTTTTGATGGGCAGTCAAAACTAGGGTTATTAGGGAGCAGGCTTGATGGGCAGAATGCATGCCTATGAGGCTTGGTGGTTGAGTGTTAAAATCAATGTCTGTTTGTTCTTCTTGGGTATAGTACTAAATCTGGAAGCCTCCTGGTTGTTATAGGATTGAAATAGTGCCAGACACCAGAGCAATCCAAGTGCCCATTGACCCAACTAGAACAGCAACACTGTTCGAACTGAGAGAGTAAAATCTGCCCAGCAAGAGAGTGCTGCAGCAGAACCTCCATAGAACAACTGGACATTGGAGAAATGCTGCCATCCAGAATTAACCTTCATGTATAGTGAATGTATTTTGCAATAAAACATCATGGACCTACTGAAGTTATTTTCATATTAGCTTTGTAAAGTTATTTTCATATTAGCTTTGTTGCCATACGTTGATATATATCCATTTTCTTACCTGTAGGGGCGGAATCCAGGATGGAGATGTTATCGTCAAAGTAAATGGAGTTCCCTTAAACACAACCAATGATTTGCAAGAAGCTGTGAAGAATGAGTTCCCTCTGCTGCTTGAAGTTCGCCGGGGAAACGATGACATACTTTTTAACATTGAACCTGATTTAATTAGCAACTGAAACTCAGCCGTCGTAATTAACCCTTTCCGGCCTGGGATATTCCCCGTCGCTGTTTTTCCCCATTAACGACCAATCAAGCTGCTGGAACAGATGGCACAGTGGAGTAAGGCAGTTGTTTGTGATGCTGCCTGTCACCTCTGGGCGATACCTACCCTCCTCACATTACATCCCACTTGTGAGTTCCTGTTAAAAACCTGTTCAGTCTTCCCCACCCTCCCACCACCTAATCCCATGTTCAAATCTTTAGCAGTTACAGCTGATAAATGCTATCGTTTGCTACAATTGGTGGGTGTAATTTTTTTCACACTTGTCTGAATTACGAGAGACATATTCCCAAAGGTTAAAGGACTGGTTTGAGTTGGTGGGAGGTTAAAGAATTAAAGTATAACTTAGTGTCATTCCTGCCCCCTTCCAGTTTTCACAGAGGTCAGATGAGGGCTGGGCTAACTCCCAGGAGGAAGGTTAACAATTTAAATACAATGAAGCTGTCAGTTTCATACCAATCCACAATTTCACATTTAACTCTGACAGGCTGGAATTTCCAGGGTGTTGAGAAATCCGACAGCTCAAGGAAGGTGAAGATGATGCCCTCTATCCCAGCCCGCCCCACCCTCTATCCCAGCCCGCAGTCTGGTGCTGAAGGCCCTGTCTGCCTGGCAACGAATTCAGCCTGTTAAAATCTGGAAACTGTCAGCAGGTCAGGCTGTGTGTGTGCGCGTGTCTGTGTGTGTGTGTGTAGACAGAGAGATAAATAGAGTAAATATTTCAAGTTGTAAGCTTTCATGAGAGCTTAATGGCCATTAATCTGAAGCATTAACTCTGGTTCTCTCTTCAGATGCTGCCCGATTTGCTGAGTATTTCTAGTACTTTTTATTTTTTTTTATTTTGGGTTTCTAGCATCCTTGGAGCCTCTTAATCTGTCAGGCTGGCAGTCTGGAAATGCAATGAAATACATTAATAAGGTCCTGTGGTTAAATTTGGCAGTGCCTGAGGGGAAGCTCGTCTTTCAGGTTTTCCAGTCTCAATTCATTCAATTTCCCGACTCACTTCTCACTTTGGAGTGAAAGTGCACCCTTGTTCGATATTTATCACTGAAATTAGGATGGAGAGAACTGAACATGAGAGCAGTCATTAGCCCTCTTTCAGATCACCCTGCCTTCTTTCCTTGTCCTTTTATAACCTGTTCCTTTAAGCAGTATATCCACAGAATGGAAGTGAGATCCTTCTATACCAATACAATTCAAACCCAGTAACACCATCAGGCTCTGTTCAACAGGTTTGGTTGACAACGTGAATCAGGATGTAGTGATGGCGACTCCCTCCAGCAAGCTTGTCAGGACATAGATTGTGGATCAGAGGACACCCAGTTTGAAAATATTATTTTACATTTTTTTGGGGACTAAGAGAAGGCTTCTCTAAGCTTCGCAGTGAAGCCTTATTCTCCTTTGCCTCCGGATTTCCCATCTTAATTCCAATCGTGAGGGACCCCCTCATAATTTTCTCCCTGCACCCACCCATTCACCCTAATCGAGACCAGCGTTCCCTGCAATTTTTTTGTCTGCTGTGCAGGCCTCTGAGGTCTGTGTGCAGCGGTGGCTTCTGCAAGCGGATGATGCTGATTGGCCTGGGTGGAATCTCCCAGCAGCAGCCTCCCGGCTTCGAGAGAACGTTATACCCAAACTAACCATTACTCCACCAACAGCCAGGGTCCGTTTTCCATAACAGTCCCTCATCCACTGGCTTCCTGCTGCCAAATTGCCACTCTTGTGCACTGGACACATTATGGAACTGACTCGATTTAGTTTGGGCTCTGGGACATGTATGAAAATGAAAGGCCTGGGCACATTGGGTATGCCAGCCACTTTAGGACTCCCACACACCGTACCTGCTGTCCCTTTGAAACTTGACTGTATACCAACAACTCTTCTTCAAGAAGAAAAATTAAAAGTTGAATGGACTTTTTGTACAGTTAGGCTGCCAAAAAGTCTGATTGGGCAGTTTTGAAATAATGGTCATGCGCTAAACTCATGCAGGCTGCAAAGGGTTAAATTCTACTTCCTCAGGCAAACCATACACTTGGAAAATACGTTTTATTAAATGTTCTTTATGAATATACAGCATTTTATACTGAATGTACCAAGAGAGTTTTTAACAAGTTTATACACAAAATGCCATTTAAAAGCATGAAGAATTGGTAACCGTTCATAAATGAACGTGTCTGTTTTTGAATAATAATAGAAATATTACGAATAGTGCAGGCATATTTTCTGAAGTGACATGATGTTGTAAACAGATAACATGACAGGTTTATTTTGTCCTGGAGTAATTTACTTTGGGTCATTAAACTGCCACATGACTAAAACAGTGTTATGAAATCATTAAGACTGAAATTTAGCTTTTTTTTTCTTTTTCTTCGATCTGGAGGTGTCATCACACACAACAGCGACCTTTCCACCACCAAAATCACCATGACTTGTTTATTTTGTTTGTTTTTTTTATACCTACTGACCAAAAATTTGGCTTCGTAGTGCCGATGATTACAGCGCTACAGGTGTTTAACTTGACCACATAACCATCTCCTTAGCTTCTCCACTGCGACTATATCCAGCGCTGAATGAGCAAAGTATTCTTCCCATTAAATAGTGAGATAATGGAAGTTGGTCGCTGGAATTCAACATACCCTGATCCACAGGCAATGGGAAGGCTCCTCGGTGATTGGAGAAACTCATTTGTCAAAGAAACAGGACTTACTGAGGCTTTCCAACTGAGTCACAGCATCAGCATCTCATTTCCACATTACCAAACCGATCTGCAAGGACAGGCAGGAAGACATACTGAACCTGTCGACAAGAAAAATCACGATTAAAAGGGATCCTGGCAGCAATTAGAAAGACCAACTGTGCATGAATTCTTAAGGCTGCAGCAACCATGGAAACAGAGAGTCAACCTGTGAAGGCTGTCTTCCTAGGGCTGAGACTCTTACTTCAAGGTCCTGTTTGAATGACAAAAGTGAGGGGAGGTCTCCTAAGGTAAGGACAAAGAGGAAAACCTCTCAAATCAAGCATGAATAAGTGAAACATGCTGAGGAAGTGAGCGGCTGGGCTGCAGTGCACTTCAAGCTGGAGGCAGTGTCTTGAGTGTTTGAACTGAATTGCAACTATGTGCAAATATTGAGGACGCTGCTTTGTTGTGCACTCGAAAACAAAGAGGACCCACATCCTCGGGAGGTAAGAAAGGTGCGTTTCAGAAGACATTCCAGTTGTCAGTGCCCTCAACCTGAGGCCCTCAGCATTCTCCTGTACTGTTCTCATCAGAGCAACACGCCTTGCAGTTTCACTCATCCCAATCTCTCCAGGAACATCCTCACATTCCCATCTCAATAGCCAACACTAATTCTAACCCTGACACCTTCTCAACCCCCTGCCTCCCAGTCACCCTCCACAACAATGTCTGTTCCTTGTCCACGTAATCCATTTCAACACTGGGGCTTAGGGTAGCATTTCCAGGAATAAGCACTGTCAGACAATCTGGTGCACTGGGAAAGAGGTGTTGGTTCCAGGAGGCTACAGTTATCAGCAGAACAATTTACTGTAAAAGCTGGAGTCTCATGAGGCACTGGTGCTCACACATCGACAGCAACAGTAACTTCCTTTTATATATCACCTTCAACACAATAAAACACACCGAGGTACTGCACTAGAAGGTTAGGAAGGAAAATTGTGGAGAGAGCTGACTTCTGCAGTGCCTATGTCAGGGTTATAGCTTAGACATGATCTTGGTGTCCAGCCCTATGTGGCAGCTGAAGAGAAGGGAGTATCTGGCTCAGTTGGTGTTAATCTTGTTCCTGGTGCTGCTCATGTTGTTGCTCATCTTGACCCTCATCAGACAGATGGGGTGGAGCCAAATCTGTCCTAAGTCGGATAGTGAACAAGTACTGCTGCAGGCAAGGACATAAGGATAGGAATATAATCATCTACCAATCCTTTTCGCACTCAAGTAAGCCAGCTGTAGATTTTGTGTCCTCACAACTTGCTTTTCTACCTATCTTTGTATCATCAGAGGAACTGGCTGCAATAGTTAGCCCCTTCATTCAATTTATTCATATAGATTGTCCATGGTTGAGGACTCAGGATATACACAAAAGATTTCTAGGAATAAAGGTAAAAGAAAAGCGAGTCTCAATATTTGAATGATGAGGTATGCCTGGGGACCTCAAGCCGTGATCTGCATTATGTAAGAAACACCACATGTTCTTGGCAGTCTGGATGACCATGTGTCCAAGAGGTGCTACTGCTAGCACAGCTCAAGGGCTCCAGGTTTTGAAGCTTGAACGGCAGCTGGCAGCACAATGGTATGTTCATTAGGCTGAGAGGTTCATACTTGGCATGTTGCATGACATGGTCATCCTGCAACTTAAGGAAGTGCAGGCAGGAAGGGGAGGGGGTGACCATCAGAAATAAGGGGACCAGGCAGGTAGTGAGGGAATCCCTTAAGAGCTTCTCACTTGTAAGTCATTTTTCAGCCTTGGAACATTGAGAGTGATGGTTGGTCTGTGGAGGCCAGTCAGAGCCAAGGGCATGGCACTGTGGATAGTTCAGCTGCTTGGGCAGGGGTGTGTAGGGCAACAGTGATAAAGGATTCACTGCTGAAGGGAGTAGACAGGCACTTCCGCAACTGCACTTTTTATACTTCTCTCAGGAAACTGCCAGATTGAGCTCTTGCCATCTGCCACAGGCTTCTCTTTCTTTCTTAACCCTAACTTTTATTTTCTTGACATCTATGTTTCTCTGGTCCAGATCCCACCATTTGTCTTTAAAGAAACATATTCACCCTCTATCCTCACTAGCTCCTTGAATGTCTCCCACTAACATTGTTTTCTCTGCAAAGTAACTGCTCCCAATCCATTTGGGCTAAATTGTACCTCTCTTAGTAAAATAAGTCTTTCTCCAGTTTAGAACATTTATTCTTGATCTATCCTTGTTCTTTTCCATAACTATTCTGAATCTAACTGAGGTATGATCACTGTGTCCAAAATGCTGCCCTATTGATATGCCTTCCATGTGCACAGGTATAGCCTCAGAACTGTCCCTTCCCTGATGGGCTTTAAAAAACATCTCCTAGATGTAATTTGTGAATTTTGTATCCTCCCCACATCTGTAAATACAGTGTCTTTTTTTTCTGTATTTTTAATTGTGAACTAAAATGAGAAAGGAACTATTTTAAAATCAAGGATTACTGGCAGATTGCTGCGTGCCTTGAAAGCAAGTCACCAGATATTCATTGTAAACACAGGTTGAAGTGTAGCTTGAAAATGAGTTAGAGCCAAAGGGTTGTGTACAGATGGAGCTTTGGCTGGCAACAAGTAGCTGATTGGTCAGTGGACGAATGAGCAGTAGTTGATGACAAAGGCGCTTTGCTTGCCAACCAATGTGATTGGTTCTCAGGTAGACTCTGGTTGTGAAGAGGGGTGATAGAAGGCATCTCCTCTGCTGCTGGGTATTTCACCACTATTTATATGAAAATGACTGAGATTTGCTGCTCACCAGCTAAAGATGCTCATTCATATCATTAAACATTTTGAATCTGTCGCACCAGGTGTATGATAAATTCACTGTTTCCACGTGGGAAACTATGCTTGAAAGGACTATAAGTTGAAGACAGGGTTATGATATCAGCAGTCTTTCTTGAGTATGACACCATTTTGAAAGCGCAGAGGGTTGGTGAATTTAAATGTTAGCTTTTATTATTTGTTCAGGCAGTCTTTTTGTTCTGTTGGCAGTTTAGTTTTTCCACTAGCTTTGGCACACATGTCTAAACATGTGGACTGTTTTCTCTGCTGACAGGGAAGTGAGCGAGTAAATTGCATGCAGGTCTTGACAGTGCTGCCAAAAGATTTCATCTTTTGCCAACTATAACATTAACACAAGAGGCTTCATGAAGTTGATGGCTTCAGTTGTTTTTCTTTTCTTTACTGCTGATGAAGATTCATCATAAACTTTGAAAACTTAAAACTTTTGTAATAAAAGACAGTAAAGTTATTGCTTAAAAAAGTCTCTCTAAAGTAAGGTTCTGAAATTCCAACAAGTACAGTAGGGCAGAATATCTGTCTGTCTACTTCTGTGTTAAAGGGAAAGCCCCTTCATTACTATATGTACTGATTCCCCTTTCTAAGGTGGAGTTGGCAGTAGCAGTCTAGTGTGAAGAGCTCATGAATGTTTTGAGATAGTTTCTTAGAGCATCATGTTTTTGAACCAACCAGAAACAAGTGTTATTAGACTTTTTTTACAATTCATTCACGGGATGAGGGTGTTGCTGGCCAGGCAGCATTTATTGCCCATCCCTAATTGCCCAGAGGGCAGTTAAGAGTCAACCACATTGCTGTGGGCCTGAAGTCACATGTAGGCCAGACCAAGTAAGGATGGCAGTTCCCTTTCCTAAAGGACATTAGTGAGCCAGATGGGTTTTTCCCAATAATGGATTCATGGTCATCATTAGACTCTTAATTCCAGGTTTTTTAAATTGAATTCAAATTCCACCATTTGCCGTGGCAGGATTTGAACCTGGGTCCCAAGAACATTATCTGGGTCTCTGGATTAACAGCCCGGTGATAATACCACTTGGTGGTTATTGTTGTTGTTGTTGTTGTTGTTAAACTTGGTATTGTGTAATGTGACAGGATGAACGAGTGTGGTGTATGTGACAGGATTGATTAATTACCCCAGTGTTCAGGCACTAGATATCAGTAACCTCAGTATGAAAGCATTTCACATCCAGTTTGAAAGGGAGAAGTCTGGGCCTAAGCCCTGTATTTTAAATAAGGGCCACAAATATGGACATGGTGTTGAGTTACCTGAGGTGAACCGGCATTTTGAGCCTAAAGGATAGATCAATAGAGACAGTGCCAGACTTTTAAGATCTCAGATTAGTCATTATAATATTCCCACTATAAACAAAAATGATAAAGGGAGGGCCCACCATCTGTGGTTAGCTGAAGAATCAGTTAAGGAAAACATCAAACTTGAGGAAAAAGCTGCACAAAGGTGAATGGCAGATCAGAGGTTTGGTCAGTATATGAAGAATGATACAGGATGAGTAAAAGTATAATCAGGTGTTAATTTTCCAAAAGTGTCTCAATTCAAGAAAGGTTCCATCAGCTTAGAAAGTAGTAAATATAACCCTGCTATTCAGGAGAGGAGGGAGACAGAAGACAGGAAACCATAAGCCATTAGTTTGAAGTCTGTCATGGGGAGGTGTTAAAGAGATTAAAGAGATTAGAGCATTACGTTTCAGGTAACCA